TTTATTTTTTGATTATGTTTCATCAGGCGTATTTACTTAAAGTGATATTTACTTAAAGAGTAAGTTATTACTACTGTGAAAGTTAGTGATTTGTCAGTATTTCCAGCTAAAAGCAGACGGAGAAAGGGCATCTCGGGAAGTAAAACTATTGTTGTTGGGTGCAGGAGAATCTGGGAAAAGCACCATTGTGAAACAAATGAAAATCATTCACGAGACTGGTTACAGCGATGAAGAGCGCAAAGCTTACAAGCCTGTAGTATATTCAAATACAATTCAAAGTATGATGGCAATAATACGAGCTATGGGACAACTGAAGGTATCATTTATAATTTGACATGCTATTAAAATTATGAGCGACTAGTCGCAAAATCTATTGCTGAAACTGTAGGAACTGTTTGAGAAATATGAAGCAAAAAATTTCAGAATTATTCATGTTAGTGGAGGGATCTGAGGAGTCTTTGAATGCTTCTCACAAGATGAGGTTTTTCATTTTAAAGCAGAGAGTGAATATTGTTGTGGCTTTCATTTATTTGGATCATTTATGGGAGAAGCAAGATTGCATAAATCGTGGAATTTACAGATAGATTTCTCAGCAGATGTACGAAATGAAGATGCTCGCCAGTTCTTTATGTTAGCTCAAAGTTGTGATGAAGGAGAATTGCCTCCTGAGTTAGCTGTTTGTATGAAACGTTTATGGGCAGATGCAGGAGTTCAGGAGTGCTTTATGCGTTCCAGGGAATATCAGCTGAATGATTCTGCTCCATATTATCTGAATTATCTGGACAGGCATGTTTATTACATTCACCACAAGTTTTGTAGCAGTGTTACCTGCTGAATCTTATTATAGCTATCTTGATTTTTCTTGCCTTAGTAACTTTAATTAGATATTGAGAAATAAGCATATAGTTAGAGTTGCTGTCTTTGTGTTCCCATAATATTGGTCGTAATGTATTTCTAATGTGTTCTGTTTCCAGGATATCACAGCCTGGTTATGTGCCAACGCAAGATGATATTTTGAGGACGCGCGTTAAGACAACAGGAATTGTTGAAACACATTTCACCTACAAAGATTTGCATTTCAAGTGCGTGTCAGAATGATGTCATATTATTACCTTTCTTTTCTGGTACAGCTGATATTTCATATTCACCAATCATTTAGATGTTATTTTTTTTAGAATGTTTGATGTTGGTGGACAACGCTCTGAACGCAAAAAGTGGATTCATTGCTTTGAAGGTGTAACAGCTATTATCTTTTGCGTAGCAATGTCCGAATATGATATGAAGCTTGCGGAAGACGATGAAATGGTAAGAATGTTTTGTTTTTTCTTTTTTATTGCCTGATTCACTCGCCTGTCAAATCCCAAACTTATTTAACGTGTGTTTATTTAGAAAACTTTTTAAGTATTTCTGTAGCTCGATAATAATAATTTGACCAAGCTTATCATTAATAAACGAAGTTATTCCTAGTTTTTTTTTTTTTTTTGTCACGATGAGATTTCAAAATTGAATGTTATGAGGTTATGTTTCGGTAATTACAGAATCGGATGGTGGAAAGTATGAAATTGTTCGATTCAATCTGCAATAACAAATGGTTTACCGACACGTCGATAATACTATTCTTAAATAAAAAAGATCTTTTCGAAGAAAAAATAAGAAAGTCGCCGTTAACCTTATGTTTTCCAGAATATACCGGTCAGACTTATATATTATTTCACCTTGCTAAATAAAACGCACTGTTTCTGAGCATTTGCAGGTGCTTTTACCGGCACAAGCTGCTTCCAGATGGAACTGGTTTTTTAATATACATAAGCATTACTTATTTATTAGATGTGATCCTCATAAATCGTCAATTTCAGGTACAAACACGTACGAAGAAGCAGCCGCTTATATACAACTGCAGTTTGAGAATTTGAACAAACGAAAAGATGGTCAGAAAGAAATTTACACTCACTTCACGTGTGCAACGGATACAAATAATATACGCTTTGTGTTCGATGCTGTTACCGACATAATAATTAAAGAGAACTTACGGCAATGCGGTCTGTTTTAGGTGTCACATTCAATATTGATTCATATTTAATCAAATATTGGCTTATCATGTTGATCATCTTTGATGGTGATTTTGACTAAGTTGTCAAATATTTTGAACCAAATTTAAGCAAAAAATATTGGAAAACGGTTGAGTTTTTAACTTTTATGTAGGTTTGGTATTTTTGATTGATGGGGGGTACCATTTACATGGGCAGAGGTTTTTTATGTAGCAACCATGTTCTACCCAGTTGATGATTATTTTCCAATTTCTGCTATTATTTAAATTGTCATGTATACCAATATGTTATTCATTAAATCAGATTTGGCGGTCCCTGGATCGTATACATTGTTTGTTTGTTTAATTTATATTTAGTTCCACTGATTCTTTCGTAACCTTTTGCTGAGGATTACGTGGATGATGTGCACAGCGAAGCCACTCGCAACTTCCAGGTACTATTGCTGCCATTTTCCAGTTGTTTATATTTATATTGCTTCTTCCCATCCTCTCATTTATCCAGTGAATTAAGATTTTTGAACCATTTCGGAAAGCCTGACGACCCGACGTTTAAAAAGTATGATTAGTAGACAGTTGCTTAATCTACCGAAATTAATTTTGTCATTAATATCTCTTTTTTTGCTTGCATGGAATTTTGTTGTTGTTGTTGTTGTTTAAAGAAGCATTTTTGTTTGTTTGCTAGCATAAGTATTTTGCAGCTTTTTTTCCATGAAAAACCCGTAGTGAGGATCTTTATTGTTCACTCAGATACACTTGGTCATCAGTAGTCTTTACCTTAATAGTTTTTCAGATTGTCTATTGTTAGTTTGAATTACTATCGAGCTAGATATTTGTTCGGATCCTAAGGATGTTTTAAGTAGAGTAGTCTTAATAATAGCGATTTTTACTAGGTTAGTATCCATCCTTATCCACTTCAGTATAACATGTGTTGAAACAGAGTTCGAAGGCTAAAATTTTTTCTTGAGCTACTCTATTGGAAGTATTTCACAATAGCATGACAAAATCGCTTAGCACTAATAATGATTGTGTTGTAGTGCACGTGTTACAGGCTGCTATCAAAAATGCTACTACATTTTTGCTGTTATTATCATATCGATTTGTTTTGCTTTTTTTTTTTTTTTTTTGCTCTGGGAAAAATTCTCAAACTGAGCTTTATTTATCTTTCCCTTTTTTAATTATGAAGAAGGCTATGTTATGTAATAAACGTACATTTCAATATTCATTTGTTCTTATTTTGCTCTATTTTCCATTCAAGTTGTTTTTTTTCTTAATTTGCTTGATCGTTGAAAATAAAACAGATTTCTCTAATCAGCGCCGTTAATTTATATTTTCCTACAGCATATATCAGAGTTGGTCAGGTAATATAATTTGAAATATTAATGAACAATATTTGACGTTTGTAAAAGACAAGCGTTTAACAGTATATTGATAGAATTGTTATTCTCCTGAATCTCTTGTTGATAGAATTGTTATTCTCCTGAATCTCTTGTTCCCCGTAAATTCTTTGATCTACTTTTTTCATAACTATCAATAGATCGAGTCGGATCTCTTTAAACAGTGCTAGCTGTTGGAAAAGTACTGAAAAATGTGTTTGATGAAAATAATCTTCTGAAAAAACCATCTGAATTCCATGTCTCATCAACTTTTTGCTCTATTTTTAGTTTATAGGTAGGTAGGAGGAATGTGACGTTTGTTGCTGGAATGAATGTGAGATATTTGTTATGGGTGTATACCCATATTTTCCGGTCAAGGACATTTATGCCCCTCACAAATAACGTTTAGCGCTTGATATAGGGGAAGGAGTAGATGGACGGAGAAAAGGGAAGATACGCAACACTGCTTGTGATCTCGAAGTTGGCTAGATTCTCTTCTAGCATGTTTATGAAAAATTGCTGCTTTTAATTATTCACAAATCACAGAATTCGACTTAATTGATCATACTGAACTGATTGGACAGGATTAAGCTGATTGGATGACTCAACTTAATCAGATAATGAGAATGGAGAGACATTTAAAAAAACCAAGCAGTCGAACGGTTTAAACTGAAAAAAGACTCTATCGAATTTGAAATAATATAGCTCCTTCTTTGAATAAGATCAAAGAATGACTGGAAGGATGTTGGCTAACCGATAAAACCAAAAGAAAAAGATATGGTCTTTCTAGTGGGTAATTTAGATGGTTTGCTTTAAGATATGCTGAAAATAGCACAAAAAATAAACTGAAAAATGACAATGTTAGTGATCTGAAAGTTTTTTTTTTTCTCTTTTTTTTGAGACGAAAAAGAAAGAATAAGGGTTGTATTCGCATTTTACCCAACTTGAAGCGGGAATGGTGAGATATTAGTTTTAAATAAATATTAAAGTCAGAGTTAATCTGCTTTTTTTCATAATTCCGACTAAGAATTTTCATGGAAAATATACATTGAAATCAAAATTACTTCATCATGTGCTTATAAATTTTTTTCCTTTTGCTATACTGAAATGGGTTGACCATCATTTTTTTACAATTATACGAGCTACAGGGGAAAAATTCGGAGGAGGTTACAGATCAGAGTTCCGTTACCCATGGATACTGAAGAACTAAGCAAAAGGATGAAGAGGAGATTGAAGATGATGATGATGACGCGATCACCACCGATATGTGTATTTAGATGTAAAGAAATTTAGGCCGTTGAACGACGTTGAAAGACGGAAACGAGGTCAAGGAGGAGTGACTAAAGGAGGTGTGATAAGATTTGCACCATATACACATGTATGTATACCGCAACAGTAACTGTTACTACAACTACCACCACAGCTTGCCATTTAAATCATGTTAACTAAGCGTACCAACCTATTATAGCCACTTTCCTTTTAGAATTAGTCAGCCATCATATGAATTTCAAAAAACACTTCCTCTAATCAGATATAGGATTTCAGGTAATTCCAGGTAATTATCGGTGATATCTTGTGCTATGTTGCCATCATTGTTCATGCGGCTGTTACTACTGCTATTAACAACATGTGCAACAATAAGCTGGGCAGTGTTCGAGTGTGCAAGTCATGAAACGACGGCATTTGTCCGTATAGCACGAGCACGTCTCTCCGGAACACCAGTTGTTGTATCCACTGCCGGACATGACCTCACATGCGCTCAGTATTGCCGTAACAATATTGAACCAACAACAGGAGCTCAACGAGTCTGCGCTTCGTTTAATTTTGACGGTCGTGAAACGTGCTATTTCTTTGATGATGCTGCCACTCCAGCAGGTACTGCTAATTTGGCATCAAATCCATCAGCAAACAATTTTTACTACGAGAAGACATGCATCCCAGGTGTTAGCGCACATGAAGCATGCACATACCGATCATTTTCATTTGAACATACCCGAAAAACTGCTTTAGAAGGATTCGTTCGCAAATCCGTCCAGGTACTCTAATTAATATTCTGCTCTTTTCACAAGTACTACTTATGGTTAGCACGTAGTTTTAAGTATTTGATATAATCTTAAATTAGATCATATAAAGAGTATATCTACTAAAGACCTCATTTTATGTCTGCTACTATCACTTTTGAGTTATTACTGTATAAAAAAGCTGCAGATAATTCGATTGGCTGATCGAAATGTGTATTGGTATTTTTTCCGTGACATCTTCTAGCTGTTAAAATTTAAAATCCATACCATTTTCTCTACAAAAATTCCATCAGTAACTAAAATGACTGTTCAAAATCACACTTTAAAGAAATTATTACCATAATTTTACCCATAAAAATCGCTGATAGCAAATAATTTATAAGTCAATGAAAGCAGGGATTATCATACTGTTTATTATTCCTTCCCAAAAAAAAAAAACAGCGACATTTTGGTAATTTAATAAAAAGTGATGATGTATGTAATAGAAAAAATCAAAACAGTAACCAACAGAAAACCCACAGTTTTAAGTGGTCAGAAAACTGTAAAGGCAAAGAATTACGCTTAAACGGATCAAACGAAATTAAAATCAGTTAGGAAGGTACAAACCAATAGCTTTCATATCTACTTTTCTTCCCACAGAAGAGTTAAATTTGTTACAGTTAGTATTTCGAAGTTCGCAATCATTTGATACATTCAATGATATTTTAAGGTTGGGTCTCGTGAGCAGTGTCTATCAGCATGTCTTAAAGAAGAAGAATTTGTTTGTCGATCAGTAAATTACAATTATGACACTTATTTATGCGAATTATCAACAGAAGATCGGCGCTCCAAGCCGAATCATTTACGGCACAGTGACTCTCCCGTCGATTATTATGACAACAACTGCCTATCCCGTAATTTGTTTACAGTTATTTGAATTCCTAAAAAGACTTTCTTCTCTCACTGGCAACACTATTATAATTAATTGCTCACTGAATAGATAAAAATTGTCCAGTGCTTGACTTTAGTGGGAAATTCTCCAATTAGCTAAACTTGGATTTCTGAAAGTCGCGAACATATGAATTGAAGAAAAATTGTTCGTACATTTCATACTGCTTTCGAATTCTTTCAAAAGATTTCGAAATTCGTGTCCAAGAAATATTTGGGAATTCGTTATTTGTGGATTTAAAAAACACTTTTACTGAGTGGGAAATAATGAACAAATCGTACCATCATTTATCAGGAAATTTTGATAACTGTGCAAAGGTAAAAAAACAGGAGGCTAGGCTGCTTTTTATTTAAAGATATTTCAACAGTTAAATCAGAAAAAAAAAAAGGAATTGACTTAATCAATTTTTTTTCAGGTCAAAATCGATGTGGTGAAGCGGGTGGTAACCTGGTTTTCGTAAAAACGACAAATTTTGAGATTCACTTTTATGATCATACACAGTCTGTTGAGGCACAGGAATCATTCTGTTTACAAAAGTGTCTCGATTCCTTAAATACATTTTGTCGTTCCGTGGAATTTAGTCCATCCGAAAAAAATTGCATCGTAAGCGATGAAGATACATTCTCCAGAGCAGATCAGCAGGGTCATATACAGGGCAAGGATTACTACGAACCTGTTTGCGTTGCAGGTAAGTTTTTGAGCAAAAATTATGGGATATTATTTTAGAAGTTACAAACGGATGTTACTGAAAAATTAATAAGTGATTATTTTCTAACCAGATGACAAATTAAATTCTGCCAGTTTAAATTGTTTTGAAAAATTGCAGCAGATCTCAGTTCCTCGACTTGTCGTCAGCAGGCAGCCTTTGAGCGCTTCATTGGTAGTCAGATAGATGGTCAACCAGTTGCTTCCGCTCAGGGTGTTACCTTATCAGATTGTATATCACTGTGCTTCCAGAATCTGAACTGTAAAAGTATTAATTATGATCGCACACAAATGACTTGTTATGTGTTTTCGGTTGGACGTTCAGATGCAAATATTAAACCAAATCCTTCGACCGATTTCTATGAATTTAACTGTGGTAAGTTAGTATATACGGAATCTTTATGTTTTCTTTTTCCATTTGTCTATCAATCAGCTATAGTTTGGAATAGGAAGAAACTTCGATTATGAATTTCTTCAAAATACTAATTTTTTCATTTTTTGATCGAAAAAATTTTTATTTGAATTCTTCTGAAGCGATCAGTTATTGCCATTTACCGGTGAACACGAACTAATCATTTCGTTAAATGCTAAAATTTTGATGAGTAAGCAAACTACTTGATTTATCGTAAGTACTTGACTCGTCCATCAATTACGTATTCTGAAATTAGAAAATTAGATAAGAGAAAACGAACGGTCAGGTGAGCGAAATAAATTAATGCTTATAGAATCACAGTTTGGCGGTATGGCCTTGTGTACCAACGAGGGAATACGCTTCATTGTGAATACCAAAGAACCATATACGGGGGCTATTTATGCTGCAGAACGATTTGGTACTTGTTCACAAGTTGTTGAAAACGCCAAACAAATTTCGATCAATTTCCCACCACCTACTGTGTCCTCTGACTGTGGTACCGTTATTAAGGTATTTTTTCTTTTTTTTTTTGTTAGAAGTTTCATCTTTATTTCAGTGTTTTGAAAAAGAAAATCCACTATTCATCATATTCTTTGAAATATGATCAAATAATCACCGAAGATTCGAATCCATCGGCACTTTTGAGACATCGTAGTATTTGATTAGTTCATGCATTTTTTACTGTTTTATCTCATCATCTTCTAATTCATCAAGAATTTTATAGAAATGTAAAATGTAGAGATGTGTACAGAAATATAAAATATATGAACATAAACGAAATATAAAATGTAAAATATATGAACATATGCCATACAGAAGATGAGCAAAAGAACTTTATACATAATATAAAGAAGGGGTACTTAAGGATGGTAAATTGGAAGCGTTAGTTGTTGTTTCATTGGATGGTGTGTTACCGCATCAAGTAACCACTGAATGGGATCGTTTCTATCGCGTTTCTTGTGACATATCCATGGATAAGATGATGCATGAAGGTTCGGTTATTGTCACAACAATTTATGATGCGGGGTAAGTTATTCTTCATTGTTGGATTCTATTATAGCAGAACATAATTATCGCACTTTTTTGTAAGATCCACAAAACATCTGATAAGTTTATAAATTATATATATATATTCGCTTCAGAAAACTTGGTCAAAATGACACTTTTTTAATTCTTTGTCGAAACTTATTTCGATCTTTCTTCAGTTCTCTCTCTTTTTTTTTTCATAATAATACGGAAGACTCCTGTATTTTAGGGAAACGAACACACGTGTTCTTGCTGTAGGAACTCCACCACCGGTAACTGCAACGTTGTCTTTCCTTAGTGATGATGACGAACTCCTGGAAAAAGCTTCAATTGGTGATTCAATCCAAATGGTTGTTACATCTGAACAAGCTGGACCGCACAATATGATGCTAACCGAATGTACAGCAACAAGAGTTGGTGGAGAGGGTGACGCTGTACCTTTTACGATTATCGAAAATGGGTTAGTATGTCACCTTTATATTCTGGAAAAGCTAGTGGTTCTGCATTTTTTTTTCAGTTATAATTTCGGAGCATATTGATTAATATAATTCATTGTTTAATTGTTTCTTTAATAGTTTATAGTTCAAGAAAACTAGAGAATGAAAATGATCCACAATTCCAATTTATTTGAAAAGTTCTGGAATGATATGACATTTATGATATAAACTATAGGAGCATGTTTTTTCTTTTTTTTTTTTTTCATCTTATATTTATTATACTCATTCAACAGTTCACTGTTCAATTACATCCACTACTGCGTAAAAATTGGAGGTTTGCATTTAGAAAATTGCGTTTAATTTAGCTGCCCACGTTACCCGGCCCTGGTTGGCCCCGTTCGACAAGATTTTGAGAAAAACCGCCTCAAATGTGACATGAAAGCATTCCGATTAGATGGTTCCTACGACGTTCAAATTTTATGTCAAGTAATGTTTTGTGCTGGACCTAATGGATGCCCACCGGTAAGTCTCACTCTCTTGTATTATTTTTTTCTTGAGAAATCAGAGATATTTTCCTGTCTAATAATTTCTGAATATTCTGGAAGCCTAGAAAACAAGTTAAGAGATATAACATATATTATTCTTTGATATGACACGATTAAACTAAATGGTAAGAAATGAAAGGTGCAGGAAAATTCAAAGAAATTCCAACTGCAAGGGACAAAGATTTACTAATTAACTAACCCAACCTTGATTTTGTAGAGTAACTGTTTGGATTCTGGAACGAATGAGCTCTTCATGTCTCATGGACGGCGGAAACGAAGTGTCGATGAAAATGATCAAACAGAAGGTACACTGTCTGCAATAATACGAGTTCTCGCAAAAGGAGAAAACGAAGAAGTTTTACAAAATACTACCTTCCCAAATAAGTAAGCTGTTTAATGGTTTTCAGTGGAAAGACACTAAATTTGGTTAATATTTAACCAAATTTCTGAAGTACAAGTCATTTCTTTCCCTTGAAATAGGTTCGAAAGATCATTTTATTTGCTAATCATAAAATTTTTAGCACTTTTTCGGAAGAATTCGACCTGGTGTGCATGTCTGAGGTGTGGTTCATTTCATCAGTCGTGTCCGTATCTGTGGTATGCTTGATTCTATCCGCATTTATTGTTGTATGGGGCTGTAGTGCTTTGAAGAAGGAAAAGTTGCCATTGTAATTATTTAAATTTTGTTCACTACAGTGGTTCCAAGAAGCTTCACTTCAGATTAATTTATATATAAAAGAAGAGTGGTTAGAAAATTTAATATATTCGTAATTTTCACTACTCTATTTACCACTTTTTGAATTTGAGAATAAAATGTGGAAACTTGGAAAATAAAGGATAGTGCAATACGTTGATAATAGTAATAGATGGCATAATAACGATACACAGTTATAATAATTCTACTAATTGCTTTCTAAGCAATTTTTCGAATTGAGATGACTCGGATAAATTCATATCCCTCTTTCTTGTAATACATGTTTTTGTTTCTAGAAAGTTTATACAATTTCCCAATAACTTCTAAATATGCTGCGCAGTTTGTGCCACAAAATGCTATTTATAATTGTTCGTTAAACTTTCATCTCTGTTTTAGCATTCCTATAATTTTCCATCACTTCCCTGATACTTTGCGAAATTTTGTTGTGTCCTGTTGCAGCATTTTCCATTTTAAAATGAAAGAAGCATAAAAGGACGTTTAGTGGAGTTATCAGAACTTTATGTTGAAGGAATTATGAATAATGCATCCTTCCTCTGAAATACAGTTAATTTCTCTATAATTCCTTAAGCACTCGTATCAGGTTATATTTCATGTATTCATGCTCTGTTATTTTGCTGTTTAAAAAAGTAAACCGTTTTCAGGAAATGTTTCAGACCGTTTATTGCATTTTCCAACGACATAAGCGATCCAGCATTTAATCGTAGATTACTAATCAATTGCATAATCTGGTCCAAACATTACTTTATTCCAGCTGATGCAAACATCACTTTATTTCAGGAATAATATCTGAAATGACTGTGAAAAAATTCCTTTAAGACATCGCCGTGCACTGAGTGTTGACCCAAATTTTAGTTAGATCTTCGTCAGAAAGCGGGTATTTCGTTATATGGATGACCGGAAAATGAAAGCAAGTTCGTAGGTCCTATTTTTCGAGTGGAAGTCGATGTAGTGCAATTAATTTCACTTTGGTCGATGTAGTGCAATTAATTTCACTTTGGTCGATGTAGTGCAATTAATTTCACTTTTTAGTAATTTGAACTATATTATGAATATTAATGAGGAATGCCAGACACAACAATGAGAAGTTGTTTTGGATCACCGATAATGCAGTGTGATACAGAAATATGCTTTGAAGATAAACTGAAAAAAATGTATTTGAAATCAGTTACGCATTCATGGCAAAATGCACTCGCATAGTTAGTATCGTGGCTGGTCTATTAGTCTCGCAAATCTTCCGTTAGCAGAAGTTGTTATAATTTTTACGATGTTGATTTTGAAATCCCATTTGTAATGTGGCATTGAAACACTTTATTACTACTGTCTATTTTTGTTAGCTATTTTGAGCACTTGCTACCGATACTATTGGTGTCGAGTTGAATTAATTTAATTCAGATGGATTTTGGAAGAACTATTTCTTACTTCCAACCTTCTCATTTGCCTGGATTAGAATTGATTTAGTAGGTGGCTTTTGCACTTAAGAAATATGGAACCAATTGAAGAAGAAAATTTCGGGATGTCTAGGTTTCTATGCAGCTTCATAGAGGGTATACATATCAAATGCGCGAAAAAAAATTCGAAATGTATATACAAAAGTATTTGAAGATTGAGTAACCTTGAAAAGGCAAAATTTTCATAAATGAAACGCAGCAATTTATGACAAATGAAGGATGACTTACGGTTGTGGAGTATCCTTCCCGAAGTTTTATTTAAATTTCTTTACCATACATTTTCGAATACAAATACCAATTTTAGAGGAAAATATATAAAATTTAGATTAGTTGGACCTGAAATGCTGCGTCACGAAAATAGCTTCCAGGTTTCTGAGAGCAAAAAAGCTCCCTCCTTCCACTCTTGTACTAAGTGCGAAACAATGGAAAATCGAATACCTAAAGGTTAGGCATTCTTTAAAGCTGAATTGCACTATTGGAAGGAGGATTCGTTACAATAAGCAACATTAGTTGTTCTTCTGAAACTTATACTATAGAATTAACCCACCAATCCTTTATTTGTTTTTTGTGTATCTCTTTCCCAACAAAGTGCAATCGTCCCCACGTTTGCCTCACATTTTTTGACATTCCACTGACACATATCCCTGCATCTGACTGATGTCACGGACCTCCTACTCCAACTTCCCACCACGAAATCCCTCCCAACTTATTATTCACATGTAAGGAAATAAGTCAGTACGTGCCACATTATTTACCTCACTACATATATCTCTTCTCGTACGTGTTGGTCATAATGCTGTATTGTTTTCTTTTGCATTAGATTGTACGTCAGAATTTGTGAATGATAGGTTCTGTTACTTCCACATAATATTTTGCAGTTTTTCTGCTGAAAGTTTGTAGAATAAAAAAGGATATATAAAGTAAGAGCATACTAAACGTATTATAACCCAAGTATTTGATGTGCAACCATGGGGAAAATTAAACAAAAAGTATGGCTTAATTCATTGTCTTGGCTTTTTTCTTTTTATATTACCATATGAAGACTTTCAGCATCCCGAAAATTGCTGTGCTCTGAACGACGTGCAGTAGTATGCCGGAAGTGTGCAGCACTGAATAAAGCAAGCTCGTAATATTTTAAAATGTATTATTCTGGCTTTTTGATTCGTACTCATTTCTTACTGTTCTCACATTCCAGAAGTGAACACTCCCTCGCCATATTTACAATGTTCCCGTAAAGTTGTGCGTAGACGCAAACAAGGAGATAATTTCAGATATACTGAAGTAAAATGAAAGGTTTAATATGTGTAATATTTTTTGTACATGGATTACGCGGAGTTCACACAGAGTTGATAGCTACGCCAAATAAACTTAAAACTACAGTAAGCTGTTACTCGTATTTACCAAAATTACAAAAAAAGCATTATGCTTTTATTTTTTTTCAAACATGTTGGTTGGCGCACAACAAAATTGTACACTTTCATGTGAGATTAAAATCTTTGTTCTATTCCACGATTTGCAGAATGATAAAATCGATGTGCCCTTAGAACCGAACTGCTCACAACCAATCTGCCTAGGGCCTTTATCTCAAATTTATTGTTCCGGAAAACTAATTCACGCAACGTGGATATTTGGAATGCAGGAAATATGCCCTGGTAATATGATGCGTAAATCACCGGAACTCATTTTGGAATTGTTTACGAAGTGAGTATTTTAGATTAATAAGTAAGAACGCTATGTATTTAGTTTTGCCTTGAAATGCTGCATCTTTCTCACAACTGTGGATAAAAAAATTTGCTATTAAAGATTAATTAGCATCATTACATGAATACCCATCTACTAAAATACCTACAGTACTAAAAATAATGTCTGTTAATCCAAACTCTTAAAGATAAATTTGTGTATTTTCAGCCTCACCTATCCACTAAGACGTGAACAGTTTCAAAAATTTTGTGCCGAAAACTTTGCGAACATAAGTTATCTTAAACAGGCAACTTTGGAAGATTGGACTGAAGAACCCGAAAATATAAGACGATTGCAAAACACAGGGTTAAAGTAAATATTTTCAGACTGTGTAGAATTTATGAAGTAATCGTATGATACCTTTAATCTCCTTTTAAATTTCACTAATTTTAAATACGTTTATCATATATGATGTCAAAACTTTGGATTTAAGAAAATTTGCTCGAAAACTGAATAAATTATGGAAAGTATTGGCGCGAGAATTCGTGGAACAAGTGCATAAAACTCCGGAGCTGTTTCCAATTTTGCCTGTTTCAAATGCATTCATTGTGCCTGGTGGTTCGTTCCAAATATATTTTTACTGGGATTCGTACTGGATCAATAAAGGTTGGCATTATATTCCAGCTACGTTGATACATATAAAAAGAGTCTCATCATATAAAAGTGTAACATCCCATGTCTCTTATAAACATTTTCGTTGCCAATTATTTTCATATTTGGTAATTTAACCTGTACCGTCCAACTTTGTCCATTAAATTTTCTGAGAATTTTTTCAGGATTGTTATTTTCAAATATGTCAACAACTGTTCGTCAAATCCTTGAAAATCTGGCCAGTGTTGTGCAGTTCCATGGATTCATTCCAAATTCGGGAAGTGTGCAGTAAGTTTCCTTCATTTCACGCTTCTCGTTATAGATACTGGATATATGTGAATTATATTTGGTATTGTTTCATATTTTATTTTTAACAAAAGATAGGCTTAAGACTGATCAGACTAACAACTGGTCATAATGGTTGCAGGAATTTTGACCCAGTTTATCAATCTTGGGTTTTGCTGCAGATTGTCGCGAAGAAGTCATCCTCCATTGTTTACGCAAATGGTAGCGGATTATTATGCTGCTACCGGCAACAAAACTCTGTTGAAAGAGATGATACCGTGGATGAATCAAGAAATGTTATGGTGGACAGAAAACCGAGCATTTTATGTCAAGTTGCCGTCCGGTCGAAAGTACCGAATGTATCAGTACAGGGTGAGTAGTGTATCATCCATACTGTCATGAACGATACTAAAATTAGTTTGAATAGATTATTTCAGGCTTTGTCCAGTTGTCCACGTCCGGAAAACTACTTAACCGATCTGAACAATGGATTAAATGGCACAGGACATCCAGAATTTATTTGGTCTTCAATTGCTAGTGCTTGCGAATCTGGATTGGACTTTAGTACGAGATGGTTTGCACATCAGGGAAAATATGCAGGTGAATTTCATCTTGCTATTTTTCATCACTAGCTATCATTATAAGTCTTTCCAGATACCAAATATTCGATCCAAACCAATAACATTATTCCTGTTGACTTAAATGTGTTTATGGCTTGGAATTTCGCTACCCTTGCTAATTTTCACGAAATTCTTGGAAGATCCAAGTAAGTTGTGTCCATTTTTTCCTAAATTAGGTTAGGTTTTACATTTTCACTTCTTATCTTTTTTAATAGCGTATTTTTTCGTATAATTTCATGCTGTGACAAATCATTAGTTTTGTTTTCAATGAGG